GGATACTTTGAGTGCAAGGATACATGATACCAGTTTCCTGCCCTGCTTTGGCCTTCTAGTTCGGGCCCCCAGTTTGATGAGGGCCACATAGCTAGTGAACCCCTTGTTCAGGAACAGATAGTACTGATTTCCCTTTGCTTTGAATTGTTTTCCTGTAAAATAGGACTAAATCAAACCTCCCTTCATTCCTCAGATATGTTGAGTTTGAAAAGAGATTTTGAAATAAAACTGCTTTACATATGAAAGGCCAGCACCTTATTTGAAAGTTAGCTATAAACTTTTCCAAAATATTTTTCAGACAACTGGATTCAGAAACAACCTCACTGAGTGATAGATTTCAGGTTAATGAAATCTATATTTTAACATAGGAATCACATTTGTTAGATGATTTTTCACAGCCTCAAGGACTGTCCTTGCTCTTGGGGGCCAGCTCTCCCACATTCTGTTCCTTATCCCCCAGGGAACACTTTCTTCTGTAGGTTCAAGAATTACCCCTCACAAAAGCTTTTCAAAAAAAGAGTATTGGTCTGATTAAAGCAGATTTCATTTCTCAAGAAGTGGCTATGCATTTCTAAAATTAATCAACTTTCCATAGACTATTCTAATTGTATGAAAGAGCACACCTAGTAATTACCCAAGGTAACAAAAAACTGGAGCTTGAATAAATGAATGAGCTTCTTTAATACAGCAACTTTGAAGTGTATTTTAAAAAATTATTACCCAGTCATCCAGCAGCGAGGACCCAACAAAAGCCCTGCCCTCCCACAATCTGCTGGCTCATCTGGTCTTTCCAGATTTCACTTTCCAGTTTTTGAGATTCAGTCCTGTTGGCAGTGAGGGGGAATGACCTTTACCACGTGACGCCCTTCACAGAAACTTTTTCTACCTACCTCCCTACCCAAATCTTCCAAAGTTACAGTTTGTTTTGCCTCTTTGGCATGTTAATGAAATGACCTACAGAATAAACCTTTTAGCATGTCTTCAGCATTTAATCAAGTTTCCTTTCTTTCAATCACTCAAGACAGATGTAGGGAGAGAGGTGAGATACTGTGCTAAAGGACCAAGAATTGATTTAGAGCAGAAAAAGGTTTCTGACACACCACTTTCCATTTTTGCACAGAGATGTATTGATGTTCTCTTTTGTTTGTTTGTTTTTTGTTTGTTTTGGTGTGTGTTTTTTTTTTGAGTTGGAGTCTCACTCTGTCACCCAGACTGGAGTGCAGTGGCCGCTCCCGGCCACGGCAGCCTCGACCTGCTGGGCTCCGGCCATCCTTCCACCTCAGCCTTCCGAGTAGCTGGAACTACAGGCGCGCGCTACCACATCTGGCTAGTTTTTGATTTATTGTAGAGATGAGGTCTCGCCAAGTTGCCCAGGCGGGTCTGGAACCCGCGGGCTCAGGCAATCCACTCACCTCAGCCTCCCAAAGGCGCAGGATTACAGGCTGAGCCACCGAGTGTAGAGCCCTATAAACAATACTAGGCCAGGGCTGCTGAAGAGTAAAGGCCTCCTCTGATGGTTCTTGAAATCATCTCTTCACTTCCTCTTGGATGTGAGAATCACTGATCCTACGGGGAGTCAACGCAGGCAGATTGGGGACAAGTCTAGAGGATGCTTAATCACAAGTAATAAGCACGCCAATACAACCATCCTCCTGGTAAAGTTGCCAAGGTCAGAGAGATGAAAAACCTCTTAGTACTAAGCTGGGTCTAGGACTCGGAAGCTGCCGGCCGGCTACTTTAAAGGAATGACTGGGTGGAAAAACCCCCCCTCAGGATAAAAGAGGTGGTTCCAGTCCTTGCCAAATGCGGGGCCCAGTATTTTCCCCTTTCGTGAGTGCTCAGTTTCTACCTCCCCAAGGCCACCGCGTGCCAGACCCCAGGACCACTAGGACGCAGCATCCATGAGCCACTGACATGCTGGGCTGTGACCCTGGGGCGCGCCCTCGGCCCGCTCTGGGTTTTCGCGATGCTCCAGTGTTTCTGGGAGCCGAGAAGTGCTGCTAGTTCAGCGACTCCGGTCAGGACTCAGTGCTGGCGCTCGCCCTAAGCGCCATCCCGCAGTCTTTTCTTCGTTGCTGCAGCTGCGGCCACCGTTGGAGCCTGCGGGCCCCTCTGCCTTTCTCTCGACTTCACTTCGCATTTTGAGAGTGCTGCCTTGTGTTGCGTGCCTGGTGTGGGACGGGAGACATCGTCCTAGTCCCCCTTAAGCCTTCGAAATTATTAGCGAACGTCATTTGACCCCGGATTTCCCATTGAACTCAACCCACTGGCCACAGGCGAGGCCTGGGACTCCTCCCTTGTGGTCTGGCACCTCCTGGATCCTCCTCCACTAGTTTCAGAGCTCCTGATCATGTCATACCCATCTGCAGCGCCTCCCCTCCTACCCAGGAGCAGCTCCCGGGGCTGCGGTGGGCCGTGCTGGCCCTTTAGGGAGATCAGAGTTGGCTTGCCCCTGCCTGTCTCCCTGTCTCCTCCTCTCCTTCCGTCAGACTGGCGCTGTCTGTCTCTGTCTCTCTCCCTTTATATATATATATAATTTTTTTCCCCCTGGGAACTGGATAATCCCAGCCAGTTCATAGACACACCAGGGGCGAGGCTGGAGCTCCCCAGGGCTGAGTGTGATTCAGAAGGACCCTGTGCCCAGCCCAGGGAGAATGGCCGGTGAGAGTGGTGGTGCACGTCGGCAGAAGCAAGCCTCCCACGACTTGTTTCCAATCCATCCCTACACTAAGAAATAGTGAACAACGACCACACCTTATTACATGTCTCTAATCCTTACAACAACCTTCCTTATGAAGTGCTCATCTTACAAAGAGGTTAAGTAACTCGTCCAAGTCCACAGAGCTGAGATTCAGAGACTGAGTTCAATATGGCTGATAGTATCCAAACCTTTGTGACCAAGGCTCGGGCTTTTTATGGTTGCCCAAACTGCTGCCTGGTGCACCCGGTTCTGGGCAGTCTGTTAAATCAGGAGTCTTCTTCATTTGGGAAACCGATCGAATTTTTCCCTCACCTCTTCTCTCGGCGGCCCACGCTCACACTCCAGTGACTACTTCCTTCTGAAGACAAATCGGAGGTCGACTGTCCCTAGACCCTAGGCTCAGACCTTCGCCTTCAGCTGTGGGCTCGCCTCTACTCCCTTGAATATCTGAATGTCACAGAGCAGAGGGGCTCGAGGCAGCTCTGCGCCTCACTTTCCAGCCAACGCTGGACCTGCTCCGAGAAAGCCTCGCCCCGGGCGTGCGTGGGTCCCCGGCCCCCCGCGCGCTTAGTGGGTGTTGCTGCTTCCAGCCCCTCTGCGCCTCTGCGGCGCCGCCCAGGCCTGGGGACACGACTTGCATCTTCCGCAAAGTACCGGGACCACGCGAGTCACCCGCCTTCCAGAAGGGTACTGAGAGCTGGTCTGGAAGCGAAAAGGAAGCCCACCCGCCACTTTCCACTTCGTTTTTCCGCATAGTTCTGGGCACAGAGCGGCGGCGGGGGGCTGGGGGGGGGCTTAATGTAAAGACAAGCCCCCCAAGTCAGGCCTCCAGTTTCATACGAAACCAAAGGGGTAGGATGGGGGGTGTTGTCAGCGGGGACCTGCTCTGGCTCTCATCCA